TCCACAGAACAGATATTCTGAAAATCTGGCTGTTTGTAGTCAAATGTTTTTCTTTACCCTTTTATTGTCTATTGGCCCTTGCAACCTTCTTCCTGCCAAGAAGGCTTTAAGGAATTCAATTACGGAATCTGAGGCTTAGGGGAAGAGTGAATGGGTCATAAATTTCATCTGAACAGGTCTGGGTTCAAGTCCTGATTCCTCAATTCACCAGCTAAAGGACTTGAAGCAAATTCCTTAAGCTCTCTGTCCCTCTGCTTATTACAAATGCAGGTAACACCAGCCTCCTTCCATGTCTGTAGGTGAGGTTAATTATCACTAGCATCAAGAGTGCTCATTGACTTTCTTAAATTCTCAGAGCTAGGTGCCAGAAATAAAGATGCAGAAAAAGAAACCCCCCAAATATGGTTCTGGTACCATAAAAGAACATAAAAAATGAGAGGGAAAAAAGCAAACAATTATGATTCAGCATGCCAAGTGATTTAATAAAGACTTCCTCTGTTCCCCCAAAGATGCAGATATTTCCACACAGGAATGATGTGGGTCTTCTTCACCTATGGGTGGCTGATTCCCTAACCCTTAGATGCCTACTCTGACATTACATGTCCCAAGCAGTGGGGGTGGGGGGTCTCAGTTGACCAAATGCCCTGGTAGACCTCATTAAGTTTCTTGGCACCACTCTGAAATAACAAGATCCCCCTCCACAGGTCTCCTCGCTATTCTAGTTCTTTACTCAGCCTTCTTGGTCTGAGCTCATTATATATCTACTCCCTCCCTCAAGCCCCAATCTTCTCTTATCAACCCTAGGTGTCCTCTGGATCAAATTCATTTTTTCCCCAACACTAAAAATAAGAATCCTTATGTTACAACTCCATCCGTTGCCTGGAGATAATATTCAGCTCTTCACACACAGGCAGACCTCCTCCAGCTGTGCCAATTTAATCCTGTTCTGTTGCTTCATTCATTTTGAATAGGATACCTTTGGCAGGTGAGGTGTTATGAACATCAACGTGTTAAATCTTCAGTAAAGAGTAATTCTCCTGGGCATTTATTTTCCATTTCATTTTGTCCTGGATGCTGTCATAACGTCTACTGATATCTCTAGACATCCTTCCTTGAGTTCCTTAGCAATTCATTACAACATACACTCCTGCAATGACTGTTTTTTGAGGACATACCATGTGCCAGGCATTGTGCTATGGTGTTTATTTAAGACCTGTGAGGTCAGCAGGGTGTGTGTGTGTGTGTGGAGGGAAGGGGTGAGCAGCTATTTCTTCAACTCTGGCTATTGTTCACGGATAAATGTGTGCAGGGAAGCAGGGTGAGGCTTGGTTATAAAAGTGGATTTCAGCTGTCACCTCTATCAACCACATCTTTGTCTAGGAGACATAGAGCTGCCAATTACACAGATTTTTCTAACCAGGTTTATGAGCTCACAAGTGGTTGCCTATGTCATACTTAAGAATAGGATTTTTTAGAGTCATCTCTTCCATGTACGTGGAGACTCTCCCTACCTGAGATGACAGGGCTTTTTGAATGGCCATGTATATTACCCACTCATAACAGTTTCACTTGCATATACTTAACTTCATCACTTATTTATGTCACTTTTTTTTATAAGTTCCTTTGTTACAGCCTTTAGTTCCTTTTTGTAGGCAAATCTTTAATGGCTTGTTCTGTTAAGGTCTACTTTTTTAATTTCTTTCTTGTTAGTTTAAAATTCTGGTTCAAGAAAAATTTTTAGTCATCCTTTCATATCTTAATGACTTTTTTCTTCTTTTTTTGTCAGCTCTGTATATTTTTATATGTATATATCCATTTTAATATAAATATATAATATATATAACTGATATATATCTATTAATAAAATGGGTATATGTCAATTTAAAAAAATTAAAGGAATCACTATATACTCAATTTCTTTAAATCTTCAAGAAACAATTTAGGCAAGAATTACAATGGTGGACTCTGAATAGTATGAGAATTTAGGTATTACTATTTCTAGATATTTCTTTTCATTAAAAAGAAGAATATCCTGGTGTGACCCTCCACTATGAATTCTGAATTACAACACCTGATCACAACTGCACTTTCTAGCCGAGGAGTGAGCTAACCTGACCCCAAAGAAACAGATTTAAGCACAAAAGGCCTCCACCTCTGGAGTGGCTCACAGGTCACTGGACTGGCAGCACCTGAGAACAAGCAGGCCAGCTATTGCTATGTCCATCTCATATTTGGAAGACACCGATGCCCTGGAGCTGAATTACAGAGAGATACAGAGCACTCTGCAGGGAGGGCCGCACATACAGGTCTTCTGATTCGAAATTCTAGCCCCCCTCCCACCCTGCTCCTGCCACTGTATCACTCTGTATCTTGTAATCACTGAGAACCAAGGTTTGGTCTTCAAAAGGCACAGGGAGGATGAAGAGGAGACATGCCTGGGGAAATGCAGCAGCCCGAGGGCTCCCTCTCCTAAGTGCCTACCCTGACACCTCAGAGCCTAGAATCCCTCCCTTTCCAAAGAATCACAAAACTCTCTCTTCTCCTTCTCCACAGACCCTGCTCCTGTCTTTCAAGGAATGGGTGGATACTTTTTAAAATATCTCCTTCACCATCATCACCGTGTGATTTGTCTCCACGTCAAAGGGGTAGGGTTTTTCAAGTGAGAGCAGAGCTCCTTAGGACTACTCCTGGAAGCGAGTGTCCAGGGTCTGACTCCTTCCAAAGCTTGGTTTCTCATTCTTTCGTTGTTTTTAACCAATCTATCATAAAACAAAACCAAACCACCACATGAGGCCCCAGAATAGTTCCCAGGACAACGGTTGTTCATTCTTCTTTGACTTGGCTCAGTGCTCCACCACTCCAAATTGAACAGCCAGGAGAGAATAGTCAGGAGTTTGAGAATGGGAGACTTTCTGAGAACTGCATCCTTAGGTTATGCAGATGTCACAGATGTTCTTACATGAACTTGGATGGTGCAGCCTACGACATACCTACAGAGGGTCTAGCCCATTGGGACTACCCGTGCGGATGGTGTATGAGGTGAATGACACATGACTGTACTGCAGAGCCCTTGAACTTGGACCCAGGTCAGAGCACAAATCACTGAGCTGCCTCAATGTCTAAAAACCAAGTCTTTTAAAACAGACTGTAAGAATAGGTGATATGGGTGATGTTTCCACCTTTCAAAGGTTTGGGGCACATTGATCTTAACAATCACAGAAGTCAGATACTAATGCTCCCACTTTAGATTATACAACAGGGACTTGGTGCACTGCGATGGCTGGTGCTGGGTGTCACAGCTGGTTCATGGCAGAGTTCAGAATAAACTTTGAATTCCTCATTCTAGGTAGGGCAAACACCCGAGAAAGCTTTTACTTCATTACCCTGGGTGCTTACTGAATTTAAACTTTTAAGTCATTGCCTATCTATATATTTTCAACCTCTGTCTATAGGCAGAATGCATTAGAGAGATTTATTAGACAGGCAATCTAGAAAAGATGACTGTTTTCAGAAGCTACTGCTCCCTAGTTCTCCTTAGGTAGAAAACCTTAATTTGTCTTCCCAAATTCACTCCACCTCAGAGAATAGCATTGTGGATGGAAAAGCAATAATAAAAGACCAAACTCAGTCCAGCTGCAAATGATCAGCCTCTTTTCTCCACTGTGGTAAATTACGGGCTCCCCCTAGGTTCTGCTGTTACTTACATATCTGGGGAGCAATGGGAATAACCTGGCCAGCCTATGGGGGAGAATGCTTCCCCTGGCAACCCCCATTTCTCATTTAACTCTACTCATTAGAGAAGGCTGGGGTGCAAGCCATGTTAACATGGCAATAAGTCACCAAGGAAATGCAAAAATTGACAGCAGCAGAATCCCAGCTCCAAGCCTTCCCCACTATAGAGAAACACTCAGAAAACCAGTTTCTCAGCCTCCTCACCGGGTCACTTAAATGAGGAGTGACATTTGAGTCCCTCCTCCGAGTAATTAATTTCCTCTGACTCCAATAGCGCCTCATAATTTTAATGAATTTTTACAAGTCTCAGATCCTCCAGCCGCCCAGCTCCCTTTCCAGTCTCCTTGTTCCCCAAGGTCCCATAACAAATAGCTCCCACTCATATTTGCCTTGCAAACTCACATAAACTGGAAATGATAAATACATTATCTGGGCTTTTTAACGGACCATTGTTTAATTTTCTATGCTTGTCTGACTGTGGAAGAGATGAATATTACCTTGTGGAGAATAAGATTTCTATTCCATTTAAGGGGGGCTTGGGGGTAATCTATGGCAGGAAAGCAGCACTCTGTTCATCCTAATAGGCAGTGCTGCTAATTAAAAGTGTTGGAAAGGACATCCATCCACCAGTGTGTGATTCTTTCAGCATTATTCCTGGTAAACAAGAAATAGATATTGGGATGAATGCTTCTAATTTGTCAAAAGAATAGGCATCTTCAATTGTGTCTTCCTGACTCCCCAAATGAAGTACATAACTCAGTGTTGCCATCATTTAAAAGTTTAGGACCTCAAAATAAAAGTACCTGTCCCTTCAGTTTATAAATCCCCAGGTCTGTCTTCTATGCAGAAGTATTTATCTTACATACGACTTTAGTTTCCACAATTGAGAACAGTTCCTTCTGTTGGTAAATATATTGGAAATGGGGCATTTCAGAAGAGAGCTAACCTGGTTGTGTTTAAATGTGAGATAACCTAGGAGGTGGGGTAAATATCCAGGCAGAAAAACTGAAGGTTCCTAATGACATTTACTGGGTTCTCAAAGGAAAGAAGAAAGAGGATCAATATTTTCTTTCTTAAACCATAAACACAAAGTACACAATAGGAAAACACCAATTCTCAAGGGCTCCATGAACCCTTTAGGGTGTTTTAAGGAGGCACACAAAGCGCAAAAGTCTCCCCTTCAAGAGGATGCAGAGATCTCTGAGCAATGTTCCCAGAGAAGATTCTTTTCACACCAGCAAGACAGTCAACTTCAAATATTTATTTACCTTTATGATGTGCAGGAGTCTCTCAATCATGAAGACGTAGAGCCAGCTTTCACCACCATGTCTTGCTGAATGCTGAAAACAAAACACGGTATGTTAAAAAAGTAAACATTAATTATTTACTAGGAATGCTTTTCTTCCCTCTCACTCAAGAAATATTTACTATTTTTAAAGTTCCTATCAAACACCAGATACTGGAAATACATAGATGGGTAATACAAAAATGCTATCGACCAAAAAAAAAAAAAAAATCAACAGGTCTATCCCATTGGAAGTATGGGGAAGAGGGAGGAAGGAGTAGGGAGGAGGGGTGTTTGCATGGGATTATGCAAGTATCTTTCCTAGATATGCATATGTGTACACACTTAAATAACTATCTACACCTACATAAAAGTGTGTAAGGATTTTTAAAGACTGTCCCCACATTTGTAATTCATCTGACTCCCTCATAGACTTGAGCTCCTGCCTTGAGATCAGTAAAGAAGAAGGTTCTGGAGAAAAATGTCAGGAGGTTAAAAATGATCATACATTTTCATCTGTAATTTACATTCAAGATTCTGACTCAAGGAAATAATCACAAATGCAGGCTGATATTTATAGACAGAGACTGTCATTACTGTGTTATTTGTAAGAGGGAACCAATAGAGGCATGATAAAATAAATGTTAGGCTATCTACATAGAACACTATAAACACATAATTAAAAGTTTCAGAATAAGAAAATATGTACAACAAAACTATTTACAAAGTTTGAGTCCATCCATATAGAAATTAGTCTTTAAATATATGCTAACTTTGTCTAGAGGTTCTCTCTCTGTATTATGATGACAGGTTATTTTTCTCATGCTTCTATATGCTCCCCAAATTTCATGCATCATTTTTATTTCACACAAAATAAACATATTTGCTTAGTAAACTCAAGCTGCAACATCTCCCTTCCTGTTCTACTCCCCAGCACCCTTTTCTTTGATGGGGACTCCATGGTTCCCCAACAGTAAGTTCCTTCTCCCTCCAGAAAGTGACACTGCATTGGAGCTGTGCAGCTCCCACTCTGCCCCCTCTATTGTGTGCTCTTCTAAGGGAGTATCACACCTTATTAACCCTTGCCTCCTAGGGATGAGTTTATAGTCATCACTCAATCAATGTTGCCTACATAAAAGAAGGAAAGAGTGAGCGAATGAATGAATAAGAGACGAGACTTAATAAATGGAACTGACTTGACAAAATTACATTAAGAAAATTGTTCATTCAAAATAATCAGTGACAATAAAAGTTCCATTCGGATTCACAGAAGACAGAAGAAGATGGAAAGCAGGGAGGTAGCAATTTTTCAGAGAAGACTGAAACCGAGGGAAAAAGAGCCTATGGTTAAAAAAAAAAAAAAAAAAAAACAAATTTAACATAATGGAATATCACAGCCTACTGATCTTCCAATGTATTCCAAGACCAAGAATCTGTTTAAGGCAGGAATATTTATCTAGTAACAATATCCCATTACAGCAACTCAGTTACTTTGCACATTTAGAGTTAAGTGTACATAAACTAAGTAGATATTTGTTATTAGTTTTAATCAGCAATGGCTGCTTGAGTCCTTGCTGAAGGAAAAAAACCCTGCAGGATAGATTATTGTAGTGTTTTTTATAAATTCAATTTAGCTTATTCATAAAAATAGGAAAATATGACTGGGACATTAATTCAGAGTTATATTTCTACGGAGGTAGACCTGGTTTGTATCTCATCTGTCTTTAAGAACTGGGTAATCTTGGCAGATCATTTGACTCAAGAATCAGTTTTCTTACATATAAAATGGGATAATAATCACACCAACCAGACAGGGGTATTGTGAAGACAAATAAACTGAGAGAAAGCATGGCATTCAAAACAGGCTTGAAGCTCCTATCTGTTTACATCAAGACCTGGACTCCTCTTTTTCTACTTTATAACCCTTTTATTTCTACGATGTTGATATAATGCTCCCTTTTTCATTTCTGAGTTTCATTATTTGAATATTCTTTTTTTTCTAAGTTACTCTATCTAAAGGATTGTAAATTGTATTGCTCTGATTTTCTCTATTGTTTTTCTCTTCTCCTATTTTTTCCACTTTAAAGATAAGGGAACTGGTGCCCAATTTTAAACAGTTATTAAGTGTAGGGGTCAAGATTCAAATGCAGAATGTCTGGTTCCAAAGCCTAATCTCATTGATTTATGGATAAAAGGCACCGAATCTGGGCTTACACCCAGCCTTTGACTCACAAAAAATTCAGTTTACAATTTTGCTAAGTCACCATATTATTTGCTAGGCCAAGGCTTGCAATGTATTCCCTCATAGTCACACTTAAGTACCCTCCTATTTCTTTTCTTATTAAACATTTCAAGCATGAAGTTGAGCATAGACATAATTACAATCCAAAACCTATGTATTGCTACTAGCCTGGTCAGATATTATCATCGTGCCATGTTTGCTTCAACTCTTTCCTTTAAAAAATAAAGTGTGGTGGCCTCCCTGGTGGCATAGGGGTTAAGTCTCAGCACTATCACTGCTATGGCCTGAGTTACATCCCTGACCAGGGAGCTAACCCACATGTAGTACAGCAGACCTCTCCTGACTCACCTGCTGCTCCCCTCAGCAGTGTATTTCAGCAGGGCTTCATGTTCTGCTCCCCACTGTTTTTAGTGAATCCTCTCATCCCCACAACTCTGGCCTATATCCCAGTTCTTCTACATTAAAAAAAAGCATTATAGATACAATCGATGTCTCTTATGAATTTTTTCCTGATTCCACAAAGACCACTGTTCTCCTATATTTTCATGCATGTATTTCTGTGTCTAATACATACTGTTTTTCATGGTTTAAAAAAACTTTGTTGAAGTAATATGCCACTGCTGGCATCCATCCAAGACCTGTTTATTTTAATGGTTGTTTTAGAGATTTTATCACTTAGGACTGGCTTTAATTTTTTTTTTTCATTTTAACATTTAGACAGCATTTTATAATATGTTTATATTTTGGCTTTATCATTTATATTGGTGGGCATCTGCATTGATGAACATGGAAGTTTCCAAATTGTGCCAGTACAAATCATGCTCTTTGGGCATACATATGTGAGATTTCACTGTGGACTTGCTGGGCCACGGGGCCTATGCATCTTCAAAGTTATCAGATGTTACAATTACTCTACAAACTGGCAGTAGCAATTTATCAGCTGTCATATCATTACCAGCATTTGGTATTGTCAGACTTTTCATTTTCTCCAAGTTAATGGGCATTAAAAAAATCTTGTATTTTAGCTGCATTTTCTTTAATTATTAGTGAGATTGATTGTTCCTGATAAAATATGTAAATTGAAAAATGCCGTGGACTAAAAAAGTAACTTCTTTTAAATACACATCAGACACTTAGCATTTGCAGAAAAATAAAAAAAAAATGCTCATGCTTGTGCTAGGCCTATAGCAGTAGCTTATAAGTCTTGGTGAAGAAACTCTACCCCTGCTGATAGTAAATAAAAATGTATCCTGTCTCAGCCAGGCCAGGAATACATAGGAAATCCTTATTAGTCACCAAGAGTGCTCTGGTACATAGGCGTTCTGTGTGGCCCTCCACTCTGGGTCCGACACATGATACAGGACTTAGAGCAGGACAAGACTGCAGTTTTTCAGATGGACAGTATGGGATGGAGACCTGAGACTAAGGCTAGAGTTCTCAAACGCAGCTCCTCAAAAACAGCAATCTTTTTACAATTAGTCTGTATGTTACAAGGTTAATGCTGAATCCGTGACCATATCCCATTCACAGGAAGAAAAAAAAAAAAACAGTCAATGGCTAGCTTCTAAAAAAGTTTGCTTTACCCCAGTTTTCACATCTTTGACTTATCATCACTACTCTGAAGAAATGGAGTATACTTTCTTAATAACACAATGGACTCTGTATGACTGTTCAAGTTATTTCCACTTTCTAAACTTCAGTTTCCTCACTTGAAAATGGAGTAATAATCCTAATTGCAGGTTTGTTGTGAACACTAAGTACTGTATTGAATGAGCTCAGCAGAGTGACTGGCATGTGGTAGTCACAGAATAAATGGCCGGCCTTATAATAAGTCTACTTAGATAAATAATTCTAGGCATTTGCAAAGATCTCCAAGACATGCCTGTCCCAGTACCTAACTGGTTCTAGAACCCAGCCTCTCCAGAAACTGTTCCTGTCTAAGCACATAGAAAGTAAGTATATGAATTAAGTCCAAAGACCCAGTTCTGCCCCAACACTTTTCCATCACCAACACAAAGAACTGCCTGTGCAGAGAGCTGCCACCTATAGGCACAACTTGTAATGTATTTGCACAGCCCCCTGAATTCTGCAGCCATCTGAGTGAGGGTAGTAGAGTCAGCATGTACATTAATTATATCGGGATCAACACTTAGGGTATGCTAATCTACACACATCCAATCATAGCAAAGGTGTGAGCTCTATCAAGTAGGGAAGTTAATCACATGCAGCGGCTCCCCACTACAGACTGTGAGGACTCTGACTTGCATAGCTCCCATTACGGGGGCCCACCACTCCTGCCCTCTTCTATTGCGCTAGTCAGTCTCTTGCTGGAGGCTAGGAACTTGACAAAAATTCTCATTTTGGGTCCAATCCAGAGAGACCATGTAGCAACAGCCAGGACCACAACAGCATCCAGCCCACAGGCCAATTAAGTACCGACAGTGGTACCATCTAGAAATTAGGGTACTGTGTGTATTAAGTAGAAGGAAGATTTATTCAAAAGAGGTTAAATCTTTTTATGTTGGACACTTCTTTGCTATGGTAATTCTCAAATAAATATAAATAATTGGAAGGAGTTATCTCTGGTTGAGTTCTACTTATTAAAGACAGTGGATTAATATAAAATAGTTTGTAGGTTTAAGACTTCTAGCAGTTTTTATCAACTGACACACTCATCCATTTATCTAGGCATCTGTTCATCCATCCATCCATCCATCCATCCATCCATCCATCCATCCATCCACTCACCCATCCATCTATCCATTCATCCATCCATCCACCCATCCGTTCATTTAACAAATGCTTATTGAACC